AAAAGATTTTCTGAGATCGAAAAAGATTTTCTGAGATCGAAAAAGATTTTCTGAGATCGAAAAAGATTTTCTGAGATCGAAAAAGATTTTCTGAGATCGAAAAAGATTTTCTGAGATCGAAAAATATTTTTTGAGATCGAAAAGATTTTCTGAGATCGAAAAAGATTCTCTGAGATCGAAAATGATTTTCTGAGATCGAAAATGATTCTCGGAGATCGAAAATGATTTTCTGAGATTGGAATTCTCTCCGCAGGTGCTGTGCCTGGGACTGTTGCTGAACGTGGTCCGGTTCCTCTACATCGGCTGGCTGAAGAGTCCCTGGTGGGTCCTCCCCTTCGAGTTCCTGCAAGGTGAGTTCGAAATGCCCCGAGGCGATCAAAATATCCATATTTCATAATATTCGTATTTTCGCTCCCTTTTTTGAGTCGATTTCGTCCAGTTTTTGCTCCAGTTTTTTTCCCTCTAATTTTGACTTTAGAATTATTTTATGGACTCTTTGATATATATAGCTACGATTAGTTATCGAAACAGATTTGACATAATTTTGGATTAATATAAATTGATTAGAAATTGATTCATTTGCATGATCCTTTTTTTTTTATACAGATCTCCACCAAAAGGTTAATCAATTAATACCAGTAGATTTCAATATTCTCACCATGGGTTCCCATATAAATCAGTTGGATTGATTACTTTCAAGTTATTAAGACTAAATCTAGTAAAGCTCGATGGACTATGCCGGCAATAATATATTTTATATATTTTTTTGCGCAGGCATCACCCACGCGACCGTATGGGCGGCGTGCTGCTCGTACATCGCGCACAACACGCCGGTGGACCTGCGCCCGAGCGCCAACGGGGTGCTGGGTTGCATCCACCACGGGATCGGGCGCGCCTGTGGGGCCATCATCGGGGGGATCTTCATCACCTACTTCGGTATGTGCTGGGCTTTTCAGTGGCTGAGGGATTTTTTTATCATCGAAAAAGGATGCTTGGAATAGTTCTCGTTTGTTTTCGTGATATTTAAAGTAATATGTAGTATTTAGAGTTTGTTAGGATTCACCTGAATTTATTTATATTTTCTTGAATTTATATTCATATATATTTGTATTTATGAATGTTTCTTGACATTAATACTTGTTAATTGTATTTATATTTTATTCAATTATATCTATATTAATTTGAATTGATTTACATTTACATACCAAGAAATTTCAATCTTAATATAGTCATAATAAAATAATCGCGATGTGGATTGGTGTTAGGTACGCCGGTGGTATTCCGAGCCTATGGGTTCCTCTGTCTGCTCATCCTGGCTTTCTTCATCTTCATCAACTTCTTCAAGGAGGGGAAGTGGCAGACGGATCTCACCGAGCACGAGGACCCCCGAGAGGTGAGGATTTAAAGGCAGCTCGGAGATTCGCCCTCAAAAGACCTCAAGGCTCAGCGTCGTGATCACTTGGGTCAATTGCCCTTGGTTAAAAGGAGCCATTGATAGCGAAAAGTAAACTGCAATGGGCATGCTTCCGTCCTGATATCTCGCATGTTTGCCGTCGCGGATCGAGTGATTCAGGTCGCATGAACCGATCAGTTGGTCCCAATCCTCATTCATTCATACAATCAACAAGTGAGAATAAAAGGATGCGAATCAAATGGTTTTTGGGTTTGTTGCTGGCTCTCAACCAATGGGGATGCCTGAGGGATGTCAGGAGATGCATCGTTTGATTGGTCCAAGCGAACGCTGGAATAGCCAATCCGATCGCTTCTCCGTGCCGACGTCACTCCTGCCTCCCCGCCTCCACCCCAGACGTTTCATTCCTCTCGCAGGTCGCGGAGGCGTCGCACCTGGCGCCGCACGGGGTCCCCACCAATCCGATGCCGAGGGCGCTGTCCAGCTCGAAGCTGAACGAGGTGCACGATCAAGGGAATTTCTACCAGAATCCGCAGCAGGGGTCAGGCATGAACCTGAACCCTCCGAACCAAGCGGGATACGGAGCAGGTTCGTTGGGTCTTTTCGTTTTTCTGTCAACCGTTTAATTTTGATAAATACATTTTTAAAATTCAAAATTTACTTTTGAAACTCTGCGTCTGTTTCGGTATGCTCATATTTCGAGAGTTTCTTTCCTTTTAATTGTGGAGGTAAATAAGTAGTACATTTATTTTTTTTTGCCATTCTCT